CTTTAGATATGGCAAGAGGTGTGAAATGAGAATTGTATATAGACTATCTATTGATTTGTTTTCATTTTAGATATACTTTTGTCTTGTAATGGAGTTTGTGAAACATGTTTGTTTGGATTAATTAATTTATGGACATAGCTCTGGATTATATTATATTAGATAAATAAAAGAATTAATTTGGTGTCATGCTGTCCTCGTTCTTCTTGAATTGAAATCTGTGGTATTTTTCCTTTTCTTCTTATATACTCGTTTGACTGTGATTACATAGGCTATTTCGATCATGGAACTTTAAAATTCCTACAAATTTTGCTAGCTGTGTTGCTGATGGAAATGGAACATGATGGTGGTGTTGGAAATGGAATAATGTAAAGGAGATGTTTGTATATCAGGACCTTGATAACTAATTGAATTTAGGGCTGAGCATGAGATTCGGAGAATTTCGAACTGTTCCGAAAATCGAACCGAAATCACTTCGAACTAAAAAGTGGCCGTTGATCGTTTGACTTTTTCCGAACCGAACCAAAACCGAAAAAATAGTTGGTACAGTTCTGGAGATTTCACAAATATCCATATCGAGAAACGAACCAAACCGTCTTATACCGTACCAAACCGAAGAACCGAATTATAAAAATAGATGTGTTATTAATATATTTTATGTCAACTTTGATCCTATATAATTTGAGAATTTTTAAAATGCAAATAAAATATAGTATTAATAATTAAGCTCCATTTAATTTCATACTTAGTACTTGATCTACAATTGAATTTTTCTTGTTTAAAAAAAATATTTAAAATGAAATGAAAGGTTAAAGAAATATTTTTGTAAAAAAATATTTAAGCTTTACATAAATTTGTCGATACTTAGTCTTATTCTATATTATAACTAACATGGTATGAAAGGTTAAAGAAATATTATTTTAAAATAAAAATTATATTATATTTTGTTTGAATTTTAAATTTCAATATGTTAGTTGCACAAATATAGAGTTCACTACTTACCCCGACCATCTCTGTTTTCCTTTGGCGCATTCTTTTGCGCCGCCTACCGATAGATACTCTGATGCAGGCGAGGGGGTTCTCTTCCCCTCACGTTGTTATTGTTGTGCTGAGACCGCCAGTTTTCAGACTGAGACCTTTAGTCACTTATTTCTTGAGAGCGAGATTGTGAGGAGAGTGTGGGAGCATTATACCACTTCCACTCATATATCCTTACCCTCCGCAGATAATTTCTTTGAGCTCCTGAGTTTTTTTAGACACAACACACACGATAGACACGTGGGCTTCCTTATTCCTTGTCTGATCCTTTAGGCCACCTGGACAGAAAGGAATAATGTGAAGCATAGGGATAACTCTTTCTTGTGCTCTTATATTATTTTGCAGGTGGACCGATATCTCACTCTCCTCACTGCTCTGGACAGACTCACCCAGAGAGACTGGACAGGTTGCACGGCTCCTCACCACCTTGCACCACATCCGTTGTCGTCTGTCCAGCATCCACGCCCCAGAGCTGTTGATGGGCTAAGACCCGAGCCTCTTTGGGTTAAGCTAAACACTGACGGATCCTTTGACCGACTTACCGGAGCCGCCTGAGGTGGGGGTCTGATCAGGGACCATAGCGGTGCTCTTATTACCGCTTTCCATGCTCCTCTTCGGGCCTCCTCGAGCTACGACGCAGAGATTCAGGCACTTCAGATCGGTCTTCAGATGGCTGTCTCGATCTCCTCTCACATTTGGATAGAGTTGGACGCTGCAGCTGTCATCACTCTCTTGGCCACTGGCCATCAGGGCACATATGGCAGATTCAGCACCCGCTCATACGGATTAGGGCCACCCTTCGGTCGATTCGCTTCCAGATCTCGCACATCTTCCGTGAGGGGACCGTCCTGCATACTTCTTCGCAGGCATCGGGTCCTCCACCCCACAGAGATGCATACTTTATCCTGACGATATTCCTCTCTGCCTTCGCACCCTTATACGGATGGACCAGGTGGGATACCCCTCATTCAGATTTGTGTAGTCGGTCCTACCTCATGGAGCATCCGACCCCCCAGTGACACTGATTTTTTGTCTGGAGACGTTATTGTTGCGTTAATGGCAGCTGTTGCCAGTTTTCTATTGCTTTCTTCTTTTGTTTCTGGTTTTGCTATTCGTTTAACTTGTTGTATTTCATACATTGGACTTGTACATTTATGACCTTTCAACCCTTTTAGGGCCTTATATATATAGGCTAGGGGTCTGGCCTAAACCCCCACCCTCCGGGGTGTT